GCCACCTTCAGTCCCAGGGCATGATCCTGAGACCTGGGATCAAGTCCCACGTTGGGCTGTTGGGCTCCCTGCATGGAGCCTGCTTCTCCCTCTACCTGTATCTCTGGCTCTCTCTCGCTCTCTGTGTCTGTCATGAATGAATAAATAAATAAATAAATAAATAAATAAATAATCTTAAAAAAAAATGAAGGACCAGACAATAAATATCTTAGGTTTTATGGACTATGCTATCTTTGTTACAAATACTCATCTGTGCCATTGTAGCATGAAAAGCAGCCATAGACAATACATAAATAATTGGGTGTAGCCATGTTTCAATAAAACCAGTTGTTGGCAGGACTTGGGTCTCAGGTCATAGTTCAAGAGGATCCTGCTCTAAAATATAAAAATTTGGGACGCCTAGGTGGCTCAGCCAACACTGCTTTGGCTCAGGGTTTGATCCCGGCGTCCAGGGATGAAGTCCGCATCAGGTTCCCTGCATGGAGCCTGCTTTTTCCTCTGCCTATGTCTCTACCTCTCTCTCTCTGTGTGTGTGTGTCTCTCTTGAATAAATCAATAAAATCTTTAAAATATACATATATAAAAATTTCACATATGAGAGGCACACCTTGATGGTTCAGTGGTTGAGCATCTGAATAAATAAATTTACACGAATAAATAAAATAAATCTTTAAAAAATTCCAAATATGAGAGAATGCCAGTGTTTTAAGATTTTGAAGATTTGAAGATTTTCAGTGATGATTTTTAAAGGTTTTGGATATATTAAAGAGTTATGAGAAATATCATAGCACTACATTCTCTTGTAATTCCAGACAAATATACGTTACTTTTTGTCAAGCCAATGCATTTCTATAGATGATAAACTGTAATTTTGACCAAGACTTTTTAATTTAAAATCTGTAGTTGCATATAACTGCCACAATATGAATAGTATATTTGCCAAGCTTCCAAATATTTATAGCTGAGAATGAATTCACCTTTTTTTTTTTTTAAGGATTTTATTTATTTATTCATGAGAAACACAGAGAGAGAAAGAAAGGCAGAGACATAGGCAGAGGGAGAAGGATTCCTGTGGGGAGCCCAATATAGGACTTGATCCTGGGACCCTGGGATCATGCCACTAAGGTAGACACTCAACTACTGATCCACCCAGGCATCCCATGAATTCACATTTTAAGAAATATTTGGTGATGATATCAACCTACTGGAATAGGTTTTAATTTGAAATGAACTTTGACCTTAGGAAGGTCCTTGTTTATTGCTGATAACATGAGAGTGAATCACTCAGGAGTATGTAAGCCACTCAGTCTTATAAGACTACTGCAAGCCTATGAGTAGATATAATAGAAAGATGACTTAAGAAAGAATATTGGAAAAGAATTTACCAGTTCATATTTCCTATCCTGAAAACCCTACAGTTATGTTGTTCTGACGCATTTGAAGTTTTGAAATGTGTCATACTTCTACTTTTGATCCTAAACTTACAAATCCTATATACATGGCAAAAACCAATAGCCTCAATCACTGTTATCCATGTAAGAAGCCACACTCTGCAATTCTAGGTTGTTTTAGGGATTTCTAGATCAATCAATTTAAATGATAGAGAAGTTCACAAAAATCTAAACAATGCTCCACACAAATTCAATTCACATATCAAAAGATTGGTTTATGAGAAAAACCTGTTTCCACTTATACAAAAATGTACTTAACCAGATATTTGTTTCTTACTGTTATCAATATAAAAGAGAAACTAAATTCAATTTACTAAGAAATTCTTCTTCAATGCATTCTGTTGCTCTAGTTTTACTGTATCTGCTAGTCTAACTCCAAAGTAAATGTGTTTTTATTAGTAACTGAACAGAAGTAAATCTTTGATATTTGATATTTTAGCTACTGTAAATTATCAGCTAAAATTTACAAGTTAGCTGGTAATTAGCCACGAAGAAAACACAAATCTCAAGACTGTGTAAATTCTGTGACACAATTCAAATATGTAATATTTATTTAAAAGCTTTGTGTTTCACCATATTTGTAAAATTTCCTAGGATTAAAGACAGTTATCTTTTATAATAGGGAACATTTTTCCACTGAGGGTATTTTTTGCTTAAAAAAAATCCAATAACATCAGTTAACCCACAAGTTATCTAGAAGTTAATTACTACATAAATGAGAATTTGTCCAAGATAAATTTTTCTGCAGTATGATTCTAACATATGCTAAATATTAAAGATCATTGATAGCATGATTAAAGATGGCCACAATAAAGATTATATACACAACACTTTAAACAATCTCAAGTTATTGAAATGACTCTATTTTACTAATCTCAGAAGGTGCTCAATTTCTTGGACATTACAACTAACCATATATCTTAATTCCACCTTTACTCAATCCTGAATCATCTGTGTCAACAGAAATAATGATTGCCATACAAACTTCAACTAATTATCCCACCAGGACAGGACCATGATTCTATGATGTGCCAACAAATTGACAAATGAGGGATTTAATTTATTATTTGTTTCATTTATTCATCAAAAATTTATTGTGTGCCTATATGCTAGGAATTCTATTACACTTTATAGTTGTATCTGTAAGCAAGGCAGATACACAGAGCTTTGCCATCACAGAGATTACAATCTAGCAAAAGAAAAAAACAGTATGGGGCAGCCCCGGTGGCTCAGCGGTTTAAGTGCCGCCTTCAGTCCAGGGCGTGATCCTGCAGACCCGGGATCAAGTCCCACATCAGATTCCCTGCATGGAGCCTGCTTCTCCCTCTGCCTGTGTCTCTGCCTCTCTCTCTCTGTCTCTCATGAATAAATAAACAAAATCTTAAAAAAAAAAAGAAAAAAACAGTATGATCAATAAATAACAAAATCAATACGCTCAATAATTCTTTAGAAAAAGACAACTCTGCCACTAAATAGACAGACATTAACAGTTCTATTTAATATAGTAACGTTCCAGTTAATATGGTAATATATCGGCCACAAGCAACCAAGGCTCTTTGTGGTAGTTGGAAACATTCTTCTAATATGTAAGGACTATATATATAAAATGTACAATTGGGATTTACACAGTTATGTTTGACAGTTTAATATGAAGTCAGACAACCAGAAATATTAAATCTTTTTAAGAGTGCATAATTTATAAAATTGCTGTGCTCAAAGTCTTTGCTTGTTAGTAAAAACAAATTTTCTCCTAGGAATTATATAAATGTTGGTCACATTGTATCAGATAGTTGCCAAGGTCTAAGCAGAGTCACAGAATGTCATGAGTGAGACAGAAGAGGTATGAACAGAGTCATATGGCTATTCATTGGCAAAGTAGGATCTAGAAGCCTAATTTTCTAATCCAAAGTCAGTTCCGCTTTTCATTATACCAGCCAGCTTAACATGCCTTATTAAGAATACAGGGTAGGGTGTGTGCAATTTAATACAGCCAACTGAAAAAATGACCAGTATGAGAGGAAAGGCACTAAAAATTTTCAGCTTATAATTCATAATCAAGTGTAAATGAAACTATAATTCAACATGGAAGGCAATTCTGTGATATAGTAAAAAGGATTTGTAAAAGTTAAAATACATATTGCCATCTACACTTTAATTAAAAATTATGAGTCAACTCAGTAGGGAAACTAAAAAAATAAAATAAAATCAGTTTTTTACCACTGAAAGATGAAAACATTTTACTTTTAACCATCTGTTCAACTGATAATCTCTTTCTTAAGGATAGCCTGTGTCTTCTTTTTGGAAGCACAACAAAAAGAAAAAACATTTAAAGTGAGATCTTGTTAGTTGATTTTTTTTTTATAATGATAATTACATTAAACTCCCTTTAGGTCTTGTACTTTCCAAATTAGGAAACAAAAAACAGTTGCTCTCCCTTGATAAATAACTCTACATATATATTTCCTACCTTAAAAAGAAAAGTGATAACATATCTGTAAATAATGTGTGCTGTATTTCCTAAATAACTTTATCAGTATCTGTAACATACAGACATAGGCCCTTGTTCTAATGATTACATGGTAACCCTTAATTTTCTGATTCACCAAAATGGAAGAGAAAGGGAGTTTCTACTGAAACAGGAGGAGTTTTGAATCTCTAGTGTTACCAACAATTTTTTCCACATTAAAATAATTGTGGAAAGCTTAATTATGTTACTTTCTTAAAAGCCATGTATATAGAACTTAGATAAAAAGTAAAAAGTATTAAATAAGTGGAAAATAATTATCCATTGTTAATATTTTAGCATATTTTGTCTTTTTGTCTACATACATTTTTAGTTTCTATCCCAGTATACATTCAGTTTGTATTCTACATTCTTCTCCTCTGATAGAATCATCCCCTTTAAAATGTATATACATTTTATGATTACATAAATGTATATATATTTTTAACTTGCTTCCCAAACAAAGCTAGAAATTTAGGTGATTTTATTTTTTTTTTACATTGTAATAAAACCATATGAAAGAGATAACTGTTTAGAGCCAAAGGTTCTAATTTATATCCTGCTTCCAACTCTTATAATAGCTGTGTAGCTTTGAGCAAATTACTTTGCTTCTCTGATCCCCTTATCCTATGGTGCCATGTGGGATGGTTTTAACAAAAATATATGAAAAATGTCTAGCACAGTGCCTGATACATATTGTTCCATAAGTAATGGTTATTATGGAAATCTTCTATATTTCAAGTGATTTCCTTAGACTAGATTCCCAGAAGTAAAATTATTCAAAAACTATGAATGTGTTTTGGACTCCTGATACATGCCACTAGATTTTTCTCCAAAATAGTTACCTTAATTTAGACCCTCAATAGTAATGTATGTGCCCCTGATCAGCAATATGTTAAAAGACAAATTAACTTTGCAAAGAAAATCAAGGTTAATAAAAAAGCCAACTGCCTAAACAAAATAAAACTTTAGTATCATTTACATATATATGTGTGTGTGTGTGTGTGTGTGTGTATTATTAATCAATTAAATTCAAATAGACTTACCCTACATTAGGGGCTGGTATCCCTTTATGGGAGGGAGATAAGGTCTGAAGTTTGTTTCCCAAAGAGCTGCTAACTGAAGACACTTTACCTGAAGGCACACCTTATAATAAAAAAGTTATTAGTTTTAACAACATTCTGGAAAAGAAATATCACAGAAAACAGAGCATCTGACAAGAAAAACAATGCTTTAGTGGCAATAGATCTTTCTGGCAATAAATCAAAACAAGTTATCAACTAAGAAAAGATTTTTAAAAATGGAATTTCAGAGAATAACATATAGCATTCTTCATTTTTAACTTCTTTATTATAATTCATATAAAAATAAAAGTACACTTCAGTTAGTCAGTATCTTTAATTCATTAAGCATGTATCTATTAGGACAACTGTCAGGTTCAGAGCAGTATAGACAGAAATGAGGGAAAAATACTGTGGTCAAAGAAGCAAGACAAGAACTTGGTTGACTACTCTGAAGAAGTGATTTATCAAGAACAACATCCAGGATGGACATTCACGGTGGAAAAACAGTACTACAAAGTATCTTAAGTAGAATTTATTAAAAGTTACTTTATTTTTACCCAGAAAGAATTATTTATCCTCCACATTTCTTCCTAATTATAAATCTATTTTAATAATCCAGAACAGGACACTAGCTTCATTTCTATCCCTACAAAAAAAAAAAAAAAATCAGGTTATTTTATGAAGTTCATTACCTACAACAGTTTTGCTAGTGCCACTTGGTTGTGGTAATCGTGAAGATCCTGATGACGCAGTTCCAGGAGAATTTGACTTTTTAAGTGCAGGAGGCTTATACTAAAATAATGAAAATAAACATTTTATCAACATCACTTTTTGTTTATAGGTTATAAACTATTATTTCAAAAGCTCACATACCCTTAACTGAGCAATTTTTTAAATTAGCTACTGAATTACCCAAATTGAACAAGTATAGACTAAAATAAAACACATAACCTCAGAGAAAGGTTTCCCAAAATATGTTCCATCTCAAAACTAGTGTACTAAAAGTTTGGCTCAGCTGTTCCACTGCTAAAATAAACTAAGAGGAGCTCTGCCCAGTTCACAGAAAAAAAAAAAAAATAGGCCAAATGGAAAATATGTCTCCAATGTTAAGATTTTTAAATGCCAAACAAATATTAACAGGAAAACTTAAAAACACCCAATGATGTTCACGTAGTAGTGCAGATTTAAAGGTCAAAATTTTTACATATTCCTGGGTGTGATTTTATATTTCATATATATAATCCAGCCATATTTCCTAATGATAATAATTCACAAGAAAAGTCTGGACAAGTTTTACAATAGCTGCCTTATGGATTTCCTGAATGTGAAGAGAAAAGAGCTAATTCTGGCTTCATTATCCTCACCAGATCATGTTAGATGAATAGACTATGGGTTGAGGAAAGATAAGGTACTATTTCTTCTTTACTCTCTAGAAAGATATCATTATCAATTTTATTTTACTATTTCTTACCTGAGCCAAATGTTACGGTTACTGAATACTAAAGTATCTTATTGATCATCTGCTCCAATATAACAAAATGAACTTGCCCAAGGTTAGACCCTAACTTAACAATAGAACAGGAATTAAGACTCATGCCACTTTAGTTCTGGCCCTATGCATCAACTATAAAGTGATTACTGTACTTGAGATTTAGCCCAATACATATTTAGACTATTTAGCACTTTATGTGAAAAACTGGTTTTAAACATAATATTCAAAAATCAAATCATATTTTAAAACCCATAATCAGTATAAAATTTAAGGTATGCTACCAAAAACTGTTAGCTAAAAATAAATTTTAAAGTCAAATACTATACCCCTAAAAATTTAGAATGTGACCTTTTAAGGAAAATAAATCTTTTTTTTTTTTTTAAGATTTTATTTATTTATTCATGAGAGACACAGAGAGAGAGAGAGGCAGAGACACAGGCAGAGAGAGAAACAGGCTCCATGCAGGGAGCCCAACGTGGGACTCGATCCCAGGTCTCCAGAATCCCGCCCTGGGCTGAAGGCAGTGCTAAACCGCTGAGCCACCAGGACTGTCCAGGAAAATAAATCTTGATAAAAACACTTCTCTCTCATACACACACACACACACACACACACACACACACACACACACACTCACACACATTCCATGCACATTTGGCATTATTATGCCAGAAAAAGACATTTCTTAAGCACTTGGCAACTAGATAATCTTTAATAGCTGTCTGCCAAATGAACAAATGACTAAAAAATCAAACAAACAAAACAAAAACAAATGACTAAGACCCATTGGAGATAAGCCATTTAAAGACACTGTTTCTTTGAAAATCTCAGAGGTGTTTCTGAGTTAAAAGGGCACTTGGCAACTGATGAATCACTAAATTCTACCTCTGAAACTAATAATACACTGTGTTAACTGATTTTTTAAAATAAAAATAAAAAATTATTTTTTAAAAAAGTAAAGGAAAAGGGCATCTAGGAGCTCCTGGATAGCTCAGTGGGTTGAGTGTCAGACTCTTGGTTTGGGCTCAGATCATGATCTTGGAATTGTGAGATGGCCAGGTTCCAGCTCCATACTCCGAGGGGATCTACTTGGGTATTCTTTCCCTCTGCCCTTACCCCACTCACATACATGTGCTCTTTAAAATGAAAAAATCTTTAAAAGGGGATCTCTCATTAAAATACCAATGAAGACATTAGGAAAGATTTCAAAACTAACAATACGGACAACAAGCCCTAACAAAGACCTGCTAAAATATCGGAGCCACATCTACTAAAAACAGGCTAAATAAAACTGGTAAGAACTACCAACAAAGAGCAAAATGATTGACATAAACAAAGGGTGCTGGTACAGCATATTACAGATGCAGAGGTCAAATCTTTAGGCTGGGCACTGGTAGCAAGAGTCCGGTACCATTACATAGCAAGGACTAAATGTTTTTATGTACATATTAGATATTAACTTAATGACTTACAACCAGAAAAAATATAAATTTATTTGAAAAGGTGCTTTGTTTTTCCCCTCTCAGTATCAGGCCTCTTACTTTTTTTTTTTTTTTGGCTTTTATGTGTGTGTGTGTTTTGAGAGAGAGACAGAGCGAGAGTAAGCAGAAAGGGGAAGAGGGAAAGAGTAAATCTCAAGCAGACTCCTCGCCCAGCGCAGAGCCTGAGGCAGGTCTCATCTCATGACCCTGAGATCACGACCTCAGCTGAAATCAAGAGTCAGGTGCTTAACTGACTGAGTCATTCAGGTACCCTAAGCCTCCTATTGTTTTACTCAATTTTATTGTCTGGATTTCTGAGATGTCCAGATCCTAACCTAACCTTATCTATCTCCTATAATATTTCCTATTACTTTGAACCAGAACTAATCAGGTTATAGTTTCTATCCTGAATCCTTATACTACTCTGAATGCTGCATTTAAAACATATTCACCTGTCTCTTAGTAACTTGCTGTTCCCCTGACCCAGATACACAGACTCCTTCCTTACTGAGCTGCATTTCATCTATTCTACATTTAGTTGAAATTCCACTGGAGGGACACCTGGGTGGCTCAGCGGTTAAGCGCCTGCCTTCAGCTCAGGGCCACGATCCTGGAGTCCAGGGATCAAGTCCCATGTTGGGCTCCCTGCATGGAGCCTGCTTATCCCTTTGCCTATGTCTCTGCCTCTCCCTCTCTGTGTCTCTTATGAATAAATAAATAAAATCTTTAAAAAACAAAAATTCCATTGGGATAACAAAGGCTTTCAGGATGACTCTAGTGATTAACAATTTTGTATAAATCCATTTTAGTGATGAGAAAAGCAAAATCACCTTATTTTTATAGTTATATTCAATACATATTTCTTTCATTCATTAAATATGTATTCGTTAAGTGTTTATTATTTCATGTGTTTTTACACAAATCACAAATCTAATAAATTTCCTTAGTGAAAGGTTTATGTTTACAAAAACTTTTCCTGAAATTGAAAAAGCTTAAAGAATAAGGAGGGCATTCATTTCTGATAAAATAGTAAGAAGGCACAATTTGGACTGAACTTTCAACTAACAAGTAAAAGTGCTCTAAAAAAGTATAAAAAATCACCTTATAAGCAATGAATGTCAGATAAGAAGAAAAAAAAAAACTAGGCCAACACCATTTGAGATTATAACGATAGTCTGGCCATCACATGGATTTGCTATATAAATCTGCATTACTAGGTGGCCAGCCAAACTAAGCTAACAATTTAAAGTGCTTCCAGACTGGTAGTACTCTTGGATGTCTGGAAGATACAAGAAGGCTCTTCACATGAACAATTTTCACGAATAATTTTTTAAGGGCAACAAGCACCAAATGATCAATAATTATGTATATAATGATATAAAAACCATGATTGAGAAAAAAACATATCTATAAAGATCACATGATACAATTGCCAGATACATAATATAAAACAATTATGCTTACTACATTTAAAGAAATAAAAGGCAACTACGAAAATATTAACAGGGAATCAGAAACTATAAAAAGTAACATGGGAAATTAGAAAAATAGCCAACTTCAAGAAATTAAACAATACAGTAACAGATTACAAACTTAATAGTGGAGGAGTGAAGTAAGTAAAGGAGTGCTTAACTATCCTATAGACAAAATAAAAAAAGATCTTTTAAAAAATGAAGATTCTAAGAGACTAGAAGCCATTCAAAATCAGTTCTAGAAAACTGATAACTGTATTCTGGGTTTAACTACAGGAAAGAGAGGAGCAGAGAAGGGGAAGGGAGAGACAAAGAAAGAAAAGGAAAAAGGAAAGCAAAAAACATAACCTATGTTTGGCAAAAAATAGTCAACACTATAACCCAAGTGGGCATAAATGTATTACATATAAGCAGTGAAAGTCTTCAAAACAGTTATTACTAATATGTTAAAAAAAATAAAGGGATATAGACAGAAAAACTCAAGGAAAATACAGTAATAGTGAAAAAACACACAAAAAATCTCAACAGAGAAGTAAAGGCAAAATATAGGCATTTTTTCATTTTTTTTTGCCCAAACCAGAAAATTCCTTGCACTCTTGGGGGGTTAAAGCAGCTTTGTAAGATTGAAGGAAAATGACAAAATATGGTAACTGAGATATTCAAGAAGAAATGAAGAGATCTGAAAATGGTAATACATGAGTAATATGTAAATAAAATACAAACTATGTGTATCAGGCAGCAGCCGCAGCAGAAAAAAGAAAAACAAAGTATATGTGGGTGTATACAAACATACATGTGCATGTATGTATGTAAATGATTATAATTTATTTTCTTCTAATTTCTTTAAAAGATAGTTGACTTTTAAAGGGTTAGGTATAATACTGAATAACAACATACATCAAGAACATTGATGGGTCTATCTATCTATCTATCTATCTATATATATATATATATATATATAACAATTAAACAATTAACACTAAGATTAGTGGATTAGTGAGAAGTTATGTGGAAATATCCACAGATGGGATAAGTTAAGAAATGCACTGTTATTCCTAGGGTAACCATTTAAAAAAATAAGACTACTGAAAGCCAACAAAGAAAATATCTTTTACTAAGACAAAAGAAGCAAAGAAGTATCAGAGGAATAAAAATAAAAAAACAAAAAACTAGAAAACAGCAATGTGGCTAACTTAACTACAAACATGTAAATAATTATAACCATTTAAATAAAAGATAAATGTTTAGGACATCTGTTTTGGAAATTCTTCAAAATGAGTTTCTTCATTGTTTTTTCCCACAATGATGATGATAATAATGAAATGCTGCTCCATTTCCAATAATATTAACAAAAATTCAATATCCTCAAGAAGGCTCCAATTATAATGGAGTCTTTTAATCCAACATTTTATTCAAAAGTAACAAGTGAAATGGATTTGATTATTTATTGCCTACTAGATTTACAGTACTAAAAAAACTATAAATCAAAGTCTTCTGAAAAATGAAGTTCGCTTAAAAATATGACATTATCAGCGTGCCTGGGTGACACAGTTGGTTAAGTGTCTGACTCTTGGTTTGGGATCAGGTCATGATCTCAGGATTGTGATCTCAGGATCCTGAGATGGAACCCTGTATCTCAGACTCTGCACTCAGAGTCCTCTGAAACTCTCTGCTTGAGAGTCTCTTTCTCTCTCCCTCTTCCCCTCCCACTCATGTTTTCTCTCCTCTCTTTAAAATAAATCCATTTAAAAAAGGCATGACATTATGAACGCTTTTGTGTCACAGTATGCTTAATGAAAAACAACAGTACTGTATAAATTTCATCTAACAAAATCCTTATATGGTTTATGGCTCTTGAAGTGTTTTCACATAGACCATCTCATTTGCTTCTCACAAAAATCATATAGATTACTTCACAAATAAAGGAATAAAAGCTCTCTTACATGAAATGTTATTTGCCTAAAAGTTCAGAAGTAGCAGTTGGACTTGACCCCAGGATTTCATTCTCTCGGGTGTTTGGAAACATTCAGTATTCACATGATTTTCAAATGTGGATTTTTACTGTCATTTTCTCACTCTTCTAAACCCTTGTCCTCTGAATCTGCTTCAGGTTACTTTTTAACTAGTGCTACTATTACTAGTACCACTACTTTTTAACTAGTTTTCTTATATTTTTCTAATACCTTTTTCAACATGCAATATTTTTAAGACTCTACTAAATAAGTCCATTCAAAATTAATAGTCTTAAATATTTGTTCTCAATTAAACATTCAAATTTCTTACTAAATCCCTGAACAGTAATATAAAAATTTTAGCAGGTAAGAAAACTGCAGCTGAATGTTCTGGAAAGTATAAGCAAAAAATTGTGAACCTCAAAGAGTCATTTTCTCATTTATTTGTAGAAATAATTGAGCATTTCACCTGTGTCCGAGAAGTTGCCTTTCCTTTGGTGTCAGTAGAAAATTTGCCTTTATTACTAATACGTGCTGCCTGTTCTTTACAGAAGTTAATATGTCTATCAGCTGCATTTTCATTAAATCTCCTCTGGCAATATGGACACTGAATATAATCTAAAACAGAAAAAAGAAAGATTAATAACATAATTCTTGAAGTGAAACATAACGAATTTTAAGTTTTTATGAACATATTTTTCAAGATACTAACAAAGTAATAACATTTGATAAACAAAACTTGTCATTTCCTTATAACCACCGAATCTGACTACTAAACTTAATAAAGACGTTCAAGAAAAAAGTCTGTTGGTATATGATAAATTCTAATTTTTTTCCCAGCTTAGAATCAAATTTGAGGGGGAAAAGAACCCCAAAAGATAGATCCTTAGTACAAAAGAATAAATAAATAGAAGAAAAACAAGATTTCTTAAATGCCTTTATACTGTACCATATGTTTTTTACTATATCTACATATTTTTATACCGTAGACTAAGCTAAGCAGTAAAATCACATTACATTAAAAACAAATTTTAAAATTTAGACTCATCTGTTAAAGTCTTTTATTTTAATTAGGGGAAAACTGTCAAATAGTTTAATCAATTTTATACAGTTGTATTTTCTCTTAGAAGTCTCAACAGATGGAAGAGGTAAAAATATACCTCATTAGCTAAGATATTTACTATCTGGGCCTTTATAGAAATAGTTTGTCAGCCTCTCCACTATGATAAAGTGTTAAAAATGATCATATCTAGATTTTCTAAAGGACTTCTTTAAAAAAAAAATTATTATTGAAGTATAGCTAACATACAATGTTACATTAGTTTTAGGTGTACAACATGGTAATTCCACAATTGTTATTAAAACCACACCACCTTAGTTATCATGTCACCATATAATGTAATTACATTATTGACTATAGTCCTTATGCTACGTTTTTCATCACCCTATTTTATAAGAACTTCCCTTTACTAAGAATAAGAAATAAATCTCAATCAAGAATAGTAACACAATTTTCATGCAGCTAACTTGTTATATTAAAATAACTACCTCTTTAGCCTATTCTAATAGCCAATGTCAAAGTGTCAATTGTGCAATTTTAAATCTTTCAGTATCTCAATATCTTATACAGGTTTGCCAGCATCTTGCCTTGCTTTTGATAACAAATAAGCAACTCTTATCTACCTAATGAAGAAAATATAGTAACATATGAATTTAAAGCATAATTTAGGTAAACCAATCTATACGGTGTTTTCCCCCCATGAATATGTACCTTTTAGAAACAGTATTATGATTTTTTTCTTTCCCAGATGAGAAGATACCAAAGAACTAGGCAACATAACAATCTGAATCTTACCAAATGACTACATTTCAAATGATAATGCACATCTTCAAATATTTCCTGGGATATTAACATTTGATAATTACTAACAATAATTTTTCAAATGATATTTTAATGATTTATGTTTAAATGAGTATTGAGATAAAAAGATCATATTTCTATGTTCAATACCAACATAAGCCTTTATGTCTTATGTTGTCTATAAGCCTAAATGCCTGAATTATCACCATTATTTTATAGTTCAATTTTTAAAGATTATGTTTCAGTAGGTTCCGTTATTATAAATTAACTCTTAGTAACAACTTAAAATTTATAAAAATTCCATCAATATTTTCTCTTCATATGAAGATTTATGTCTACAATATTCCACATACCAGGATCGTAAGAGGGTGGAGGAGGAGGAGGAAGTTTTCCACCCTCTTTAAGTGCCTGATCAAGGCCTTTAGCTGCTCTTATGGTAGCAATGAATTCTTCATGTTTTCTTCTCCAATTAGATGGTTTCTTTGGTGGTTCAGGCTATGTACAAATAAAGAGAAACCCATTTCAAAACATTTTTTAAAAAAACTAATTGAAATAAAATTTGAGGAAATGCTATATTGTTTCAAATGTTTTCTTATTAGTAGTGCTTAAATTATTTTCTTCCTAAATTTTTAATTAAAAAAAAAACTTCACGTAATTATATGAGATTTTTAAATTGCAATTGTAATTATAATAAACACTGCTAAATTAACTTCTTAGGGGTTGCATCCATTTAAGCTCCCACTAACAGTGTAATTTCCCTATTTTACCACACTTTTTCCAACAGAGAGTATGTAAAAAAACTTGTTTTTTTAATTGACTGGACAGGTGAAAAATTATTCTCTCTGGTTTTATCTGGCTTTTCTTTATAATGAGTGAGTTGAGCATCTTTTTATATCATTAAGAATCATGTGCAATGCCTTTTTTGTGAACTGTTTATGTGCTTGGTCAACTTACCTGTTGGGTTACTGGTCTTATTTTTAACAATTTCTAAGTTATGGGCACCTGGGTGGCTCAGTTAGTTAAGCATCTGCCTTTGGCTCAGGGTCCTGGGATCAAGCCCTGCATCAGGTTCCCTGCTCAGTGAGAAGTCTATTTTTGCTCTCTCTCTGCCCATATCCCCTACTTGTGCTCTCTTGCTCCCATTCTCAAATAAAATAATAAAATAAAATCTTAAAAAAAAAAAAATTTCTACCTAAGTCTTTATAAGAGACTAGCCTCAGCCCTATCCTACAATATGACTATCTTCTGATCTTGTCTAAGGATCTTCTGATATTAAGAATTATTTTTAAAATATAGTTTAATTTACTTGTTCCTTTTATGGTCTCCAGATCTGTAGTCACTGTTAGCAAGGCCCAACCTCACACCAAGGTAAAATGAAATTTTCCCATGTTTCCCCCCCCCCCAGAATGTTGTTCATGATTTCATTTTAAAATTTTAAATCTTTTATAGATTTGGAATTTATCATGAGACATAATGTGACATATAGACTCAACTTTATTTTTTTGTTTTTAACATGGCTATGCAGCTGCCTCAACATCCTTTGTTGACTTTGCCCCCCACTGAACTGGTAACAACTTTATCATATTCTCTTTTGTATTTGGGGCTATTTCTGAACTTTCTCTTCTGTTCCACTGTTCTGACCATCCTTTTATCGGTAACAGTATTTTACATATTGAGACTTTATAGTAACATTTTAATATCTGATAGGATAACCATACTTTAAGCTGCTTCTTTTTCAATCTTTTCTGGTTATTCCTGCAAGTAGATTTTTTCCCATAAGAACTTTAGAATCAGCTTTCTAGTTTTTTTAAACTATCTTTTAACTGGAAAACTTACACTTTACATTTATAAACAACTTAAGGAACTTAATATCTTTATTTTGTTGAATCTACCTATCTAAATATATCCATTTGAAGAAGTGTTTGTGTATTTCAGGTTTTTTTATGTATTCTTTGTGGAAGTCTTATACCTTTAAAAGGTTTATTCCTAAATAATTTTTATTTTGTACTGTTCTTTTATAAAGAAGTCTTTCTTTTTTATGTTTCAAGGAGTCTATTGAAATATGAAACCTAGTAATTTCTGTATATTACCATTATATCTCATTACTTCTGTGGCTTCTCTGTTTGTAATAACTTATCAGTTGATTCTCTTGGGTTTCCCAGGTAAATCATCTCCTAATAATCATACTTTTAGCTTCTCTTTTCCAATCCCTATGCATCTACTATCTAACTGTATGTATAGCAATTACTATGTTGGTTGGAGCTTAACCTTATTCCTATCTTTAATGGCTACCTCTAAGTGTCTTTCCACAATGCATGATGGCTCCTGTGCTATAATACATTTATTTTGTCATACTATTGAAATACTCAACTATCCTTTTATGTTATTTTTAAAATCAAGAATATACATTGAACCAGCAAAGTCAAAAGATGGTTCTTTAAAAACACTAATAAGGCAAGATTAATAAGTGGGAAAAAAGAAAACACAAAATACCAAGGGATGCAAAATAGTACATGATATGGTTCTTATAAACATGATGAAAAAAAGAAGATACTATCAGGATGCCTGGATGGCTCAGTTGGTTAAAATGTCTGCCTTCAGGACAGCCCGGGTAGCTCAGTGGTTTAGTGCCACCTTCAGCCCAGGGTGTGATCCTGGAGATCCAGGACTGAGTCCCACATCAGGCTCCCTGCACGGAGCCTGTTCTCCCTCTGCCTGTGCCTCTGCCTTTCTCTCTCTCTCTCTCTCTTTCTCTCTCTCTCTCTCTCTGTGTCTCTCATGAATAAATAAATAAAATTAAAAAAAAAAAAAAAGTCTGCCTTCAGCTCGGGTCACAATTCTGGGCTCCTGGGATCGAGCCCTACATCGGGCTCCCTGCTTTGTGAGGAGTCTGCTTCTTCTTCTCCTTCAGCCTGCCGCTCCCCCTGCTTGTGCTATCTCTCTCTGTCAAATAGATAAATCTTGAAAAAGAAAAAAAGAAGATACTATAATGGACCTTTATGCTAATGAATTTAACAACATTAAGTGGACAATATCCTTGATAAACACCACTAAACAGGTATTAAAGAAACAGAAAACCACAACAGTCCTAAAGGTTTTTTTTGTTTGTTTGTTTGTTTGTTTTTTTAGTGAATCTGTTTTTTAAAAACCTAAAGAAAACTCCTGGCCCAGTTGCCTTTACTGTTGAATTGCTGCAGACATTTAAGTAAGGAAGAAATAGCATCAATCTTTTAAAAACTCTTTCAAATAATTAAGAAAAACCAAGAGAACAACTTCCTAACTACTCTTAGGAGAGCAACAGAAGTGTGATAAAAAGAAAAATTACAAACTTACCTCTCACGAATATAGATACAAAATCTTAACTAAATACAAGCAAATTTAGATGTCGAATATGACTGATTCTTTAAAGTTTCTATTTTGGGATGCCTAGGTGCCTCAGCAGCTGAGCTCAGGGTGTGATCCCGGGGGTTCCAGGATCAAGTCCCGCATCAGGCTCTCTGTGAGGAGCCTGCTTCTCCCTCTGCCTATGTCTCTGCCTCTCTGTGTGTCTCTCATGAATAAATAAATAAAATCTTTTAAAAAAAATAAAGTTTCTTATTTTATGGTGAAAGGTCTGATCACAACATTCACTTGTTCCATGAATATAACTCATCTACTGGTAAGTTTTCCTGCTCTCATCCTCCCTTCTTCTCACAGCACCCTCGTGTCAAAGCTAAGTTAATGGTTTTTTTATTCCTCATCATTGAATGAGTTAGATTTTCCTGGTGCAGCTATTTACAAGAGGTTCTGGGGAGGAGAGGTCTACAATCCCCTTCCAAGCTACACAAACCCACAGCTAGGTCACTTCTCTGTTGTACCAGATACAGAAGAAAATAGGTCTCTGTGATTATAAAGCAGACACATCTTTCACGCTTCTCTAAAACAGTGTGGGTCCAGGAAGGCTACTGCTGCCAGCCATGCTTTCTTCAGTAACCACACTAACCATTTCAAAAAAAAAAAAAAAAAAGGACCTAGCCCTTTAGACAGGCCCCTTACACCTTCAAAAAGAGTATTTTGTTTTCATTAGTGCTTTTAGAGAGCTTCTGCCATTAGGTCCCTTCAACTCTCTGTGCCTTTTCTCTCTACTTTCTCCTTCCTGGTCTTTGTCTAATTTCAGCTAGGCTCATTGCAGCTCCTGGACTCGATCCCTGGTCTCCAGGATCAGGTCCTGGGCAGAAGGTGGCATCAAACTGCTGAGCCACCGGGGCTGCCCCTTTATAAATTTTAATGTGCATTTGACTCCCTCAAGGATTTTGTTAAAATGCAAATTCTAATTCAGTATTTCTGGGTGGGATCTGAGATTCTGCATTTCTAACGAGTTTCCAAATAGTGCTGATATTACTGTTCAATGAACCACACTTCTTAAGTACCAAGAAATTAAACTACTTAATGCAAGCAATGGTTTTTACTTTGCTTTTAACTGAAGATTAATTTTTTCACTATTGGAACCCTTCTCCCTTAAAAAGAAATAGCATGGGGCACCTGGATGGTTCAGTAAGCATCCAACTGCTAATTTCATCTCAGGTCATGACCTCAGGGTTGTGGGATCAAGCCTCACATCATGCTCTACACTCAGCACAGAGTATGCCTGAGATTCTCTCTCTCTCCTTCTGCTCCTAATCCCCACTTGCACATGCTCTCCTTCCAATAAATAAATAAATCTTTAACAAAAATAGGATATTTTTTATTGAGAGATCACCATGGATAAACTCAATGTAATCCTCTTAAGAACCCTATAAGAGAGATACTACCCTTACTATCACCATTTTACAGATAAAGAGATGTATAGATTAAGTAACTTAACCCAACACAACATGGTAAGTAACAGAGCAAGGGTTAAATCCAGGCAGTCTGACTCTTGAGCCAGTTTTTGTTTTCATACCCACTATATTATACTGTCTCTACAAATTTCAATAGTTCATCTCTTAGCTGATAGAAGCCAATATAATCGTATGTCTGGCAGATATACTAAGAAAAATATCAAATAATAGTTTATGTACATTATTCAAATTTTACCATCCTTCACTTAAAACAGTCATAGACTGGAAAAGATGAACATTCGACTTTCCTATTATAAAATGATTTTATTAATAAAATTAACTGCCCCATAGGGAAATGTTTTCTGGTAGCACTGGGAGAAGTTATTATCGCCGAAGCAGGGTTTTATTTCAAAAACATATTAAGTGAGGTACTCAAATTTTGACTATTTTACTGAACTAACTCTTTAAAACTATGTCCAACAAAGTATGTATGTGCATTATTCTTAGCACCATAACATATCAGAGGTAGTATTAAGGAGAGATTATTAAAGAAGATTCACTGCCTTCAAAGAAAATAAACTGAGAATGGCTATACATGGACAGCTGGGTAACTGATCAAACTTCCCCACAAAGCATAAGAGCACAATTACTGATAATCAATCAAGATAATCAATATCTATTATGCAAGGATATCTGTAAATTATAGCTTTCCTTTGTATACAGAGACTATACTACTAAGAGCTTAAACTGCACTTAAATTATGTCTGAATAATTAACAATGACTTAGGACGAATATGTGAGGACTTTTTAATTATTTCTAGCCTATAGCTAAGCAATTGGCTCTCCAATGTCACAAAAACCTCACTGTAATAGGCTGTGAGACAGTAGCTTGGTTTCTCCTTTGCAGAAGTTTAAAATAAACAAGTTTCTAATCATTTCTATTTTTTTTTAAAGATTTTATTTATTTATGCATGAAAGACACACATGGGGGGGGGGGGCAGAGACACAGGCAGAAGGAGAAGCAGGCTCCATGCAGGGAGCCCGATGCGGGACTCAGTCCCCGGGTCTCCAGGATCACGCCCTGGACCAAAGGTGGCACTAAACCATGAGCCACCCGGGCTGCCCTCTGATCATTTCTAAACTGAAAACATGAAGCAGAATTCTCATTATTCTTCAATCTTATCACAACACATAATTATAATTGTTTTCAATATACACAGCAGCAAAGTTCATACTATTAAAAAAACTACGTAATTACCCTAGGTTTAAGAGGCTTTACTGTTGGGATATCAGTTCCTTCAGCTCTTTGTCTGCTTGAGTCAAAAGTCTTACGTTTTTTAGTGGCAGTTTTCTGGCAAATGGGTCCATGTTTTTTCTGTTAAGATAAAGAAATGCAATATATCATTTTCTTTTCTACAGAAGGGTATTCTACAAAACTTCTCATTGTCATTTGAACCGATTTAAAAACTGGAAGATGAAATAATAATACTTAAATAAGGCATATTGTGCTTTAACTAAAATTGTTAAAAAGTATATATACTGCATGCTATAAGTTATCTTTCTCAAGGAAGTATGAATTCTATATATAATAAGAAAGATAAATACTCTACCAAAATTTAATTAAGAATTATTGAACAAAAAAAAAAGAATTATTGAACATTCTAGTTTTCACAATAGTAAGAATAAGGAAAATAATATAACCAAGTCAAAGCTAGTTAAGTGAAAAAAAAAAAAAAGAGTTCTCGTCATCACTAAATACATGAAAACAGATACTGGAAAAAGAATGTAAACAGAGACTACATTAGTGTGAGGATTACAAAAGTCAACACAATAGTAGTAGGCTTGTTTACTAAAGTTATTACCATAACAGTAGTATGTTAACATAACATTAACAAAATAATTGGGCATGCCAGATTTGTGTCTTTCCTCCACAAATCACCACTTTATTCTCTTCTGGAACAAGTTTTCTACCTTCCTTTAAGCCTGATTTTTCTTGAACTATCTAGCATTCCACTTCTATAGGTTTTTTAAATATGGCTGCCAACTCATTCATTCAATCATTCATGTATTCATTTTAAGGACATTACCGTGGACACTCTCATAACTGATCTCCAATTAGCCTACTGGAAAAATAATCATTCCCCCTCCCCCAAATAAAACATGTTAATGGATGACATCAGTGCACTATGTGCATCTTTTTTCTTTTGTATTTTGATAAATGCTGAACAAGCTAGAACTGTTACACTTTATCTAAGAAAAGAGGAAACCTCAAAACTGGTTGGTTTGATATCATAGAATCTCTTATATTTTTAATACACAATTAGAAATCAAATGTTTTACATATGTTATTAGTTTTCATTTTAACAAAGCACTAAAATTATATCTATAAAAAACCTCGTCAATATGAAAAAAATTAAGTGTGGCTAATAGGCAACTTTCTTTTTCTTTTTTTAATAGGCAACTTTCTAGTAGATGTCTGTTCTTACACTGAGTTATATGTATCAAAAGTATGTAGTGCTTGTTCCCAAATCTGATGTATTATATAAGCTGTAGTTGTATAATGATTACATTATTTGATTAAATATTAAATAAATAAGGGCAGAAGAAGGCATTTTCTTTCCTATGTAAACTGAGTGGAATGCTTTGAAAATGGTTTGAAAAACAATGAGTTGATACAAAAACAATAAAAAAATCACTGAGTTATGTGTAGGCAAGACGTTTTTAAAGGACAAATGAAAAAAGCTGTCATTATTTAAAAGGAGTCCATAGTCCGATAGACACTTTAGATCATTAAATCCTTGCTTTGCTTTAAAGAAGCAAACTAGAAATAGTAACACACGTTCCAGATTGTAGCAGAACTCTAACGAACAAATTCATATTCAAAGAAAAATCTTTATTCTACAACAAAATATTAATAAATGTATATTTATATTTAAAGAAAACATAAAATATTTTAGATACATATGCATTTTTCCCTTTATTCTCTAGTTAGTTGGCGATTTTAAATTAAAATCAATAAAAGTGCTTCTATTTGTGTTACTAAATGAAAGCATCTAAAAAATGCATAATATATTTTAGGTACACTTTCAATTGAAAAGAATTTTTCTTCAGAGTATTTCAAATATACATAAGAATTAAGAGAATAATGTCCCATTTATTCATCAATACGATTATCAACAATCTAGCAATCCTGTCATCTATACCAGTTTTTTTCCTCCAAAGTACTTGAAAGCAAATTCTAGACATTGAATCATTCCTTATCTTTAAACATTATTATGTATTTTTGAGAGTTTTTGTTTTGTTTTTGTTAATATTCCCACAGAGAAACACTTTAACAGAGTAGTTGAAGACCAATCTAACTCTGAAGAGACCACTCTAGAAACACAGCTGGAACTGATAACTCTTGAAAAAGAACACTGGAAAAAAAAAAAAAAGAACACTGGCCAGTATCTCTTTAAGTAATTCCACAGAGGTTCTTTCCATAAGAGTTGTCCTAAAACATTGAACAATTACAGATCTACTCTAATCCAAAGGAAAAAGGTACTCACTAACGCCACTGGAAAGAATGTTCTTCCACAAATCTTGCAAGGTAACAATTCTCCCACTTGGACACTTCCATTTTCTAAAACAGAAGAGAATTTAATCAATAATTCTTTGCTTAAATTGTAAAACTTCCAAATTTTAATATCATCATATATAAGTTGTCAGTTCTTGTGGAAAATGTCTTGTTTAATTTTGGAATAAGCAATATTACTGATTAAAATAGGCACAAGACTTAGATTTATCAGGGGTCAAAAAGGCCATGCCAAATACTCAAGTCATGATTTAAGTATCACCAAACTGATATTGTTGGAAATATTTTGTTTTCTTTCATTTTAACCAAACTAATTTATTATATTCTCTAAATTTACAACTTCTCTCTACCTTAAATTACCAAACCTTAAACACCAAGTTTACCTTAATGTTAATATTGTATATTATTAATCCTCAAAGCATTAAGATACAGCATTGGTGATCAGTGAGGTGGCTTCCTGAGATGATCTAGGGAGTCTAGGATAAAAGGAATCATTTTCTGTTTTAAAACAGACAATAGGAAGTATAATGCTTTAAAGAAAAAATCGCCTCGTTACTATGCTTGCTACCTTTATTACGTGAATTGTTTATTATTTTATACAGATAATATTATATGAGGATTCAATGGACTGGCAAAGTAATATATTCTGTCCTGTGGCATAGTGCATTAAATAAGGGACAAGTAGGTGAAACTTAATCAAAACTTAAAAACCTGTTACATATTTTCATACAACACATTTTGTAACTAAATTGCTTTAAAAGAAACAACTACACTCTTCGGAATTCTACATAGCTGAGTCATTTTGTCAATTTATTATGTAGCCAATTATCAAAAAAAGATAAAATTTCCATACCTGTAATTTTCTAAAAATGATATTTGAACCTATACCTTAAACATATTTTCTGCTGAATATTTTACTGTTAAAATTCCTTTATCACATGAAAGATAAATAGAAAGCCACTTTGTTTTATTTTTTTTTCAAAACAGATTAAATAATTCACTTTATTAGTTGCACAAAGAAAAACCATCCAATTTTCTATGTCAGTCTAAGAAAATTTGAAGTTGTTGTCAGCTGTAAATGAACAGGAAAAAAAGCATTTAAAGAAATTCTACATCTCTTTGCCTTCATTCACCAGACTGCTAAAATAAATTTTTCAGAATCACTCAGAATGGAAGGCCATACAGGGTGGTTTCCAGGGATTTCTTTTTTTTTTTTTTAAATAAATTAATTTTTATTGGTGTTCAATTTACCAACATACAGAATAACACCCAGTGCTCATCCCGTCAAGTGTCCCCCTCCGTGCCCGTCACCCATTCACCCCCACCCCCCGCCCTCCTCCCCTTCCACCACCCCTAGTTCATTTCCCAGAGTTAGAAGTCTTTATGTTCTGTCTCCCTTTCTGATATCTCCCACACATTTCTTCTCCCTTCCCTTATATTCCCCTTCACTATTGTTCATATTCCCCAAATGAATGAGAACATACACTGTTTGTCCTTCTCCGATTGACTTACTTCAGTCAGCATAATACCCTCCAGTTCCATCCACGTTGAAGCAAATGGTGGGTATTTGTCGTTTCTAATGGCTGAGTAATATTCCATTGTATACATAGACCACATCTTCTTTATCCATTCATCTTTCGATGGGCACCGAGCCTCCTTCCACAGTTTGGCTATTGTGGACATGGCTGCTAGAAACATCGGGGTGCAGGTGTCCCGGCGTTTCATTGCATCTGAATCTTTGGGGTAAATCCCTAACAGTGCAATTGCTGGGTCGTAGGGCAGGTCTATTTTTAATTCTTTGAGGAACCTCCACACAGTTTTCCAGAGTGGCTGCACCAGTTCACATTCCCACCAACAGTGTAAGAGGGTTCCCTTTTCTCCACATCCTCTCCAACATTTGTGGTTTCCTGCCTTGTTAATTTTCCCCATTCTCACTGGTGTGAGGTGGTATCTCATTGTGGTTTTGATTTGTATTTCCCTGATGGCAAGTGATGCAGAGCATTTTCTCACGTGCATGTTGGCCATGTCTATGTCTTCCTCTGTGAGATTTCTCTTCATGTCTTTTGCCCATTTCATGATTGGATTGTTTGTTTCTTTGGTGTTGAGTTTCATAAGTTCTTTATAGATTTTGGAAACTAGCCCTTTATCTGATATGTTATTTGCAAATATCTTCTCCCATTCTGTAGGTTGTCTTTGAGTTTTGTTGACTGTATCCTTTGCTAAGCCACTTTGTTTTAGAAATAATCTTTAGATTATTGAACCGGGTGGCTCAGCGGTTTAGCGCCACCTACAGCTCAGGGCGTGATCCTGGAGACCCCAGGATGGAGTCCCAGGTCGGGCTCCCTGCATGGAGCCTGCTTCTCCCTCTGCCTGTGTCTCTGCCTCTCTCTCTCTCCTCTCTGTGTATTCTCATGAATGAATGAATAAAATCTTTAAAAAAAAATTGTAATAATCTAAAGAAACTCATGAGAAAAGTACAACTTCAAATAATTTGTCCCAAAGTGTTTAGTGAGTTCAAGAATCAAAATAGATATGGGTGGGAATACAACAAACAGAAAAACTGTTTTGTTCTCTCATTCTTTTAATATTCCACTACCCTCTTTTAATGATAGTGACTATCTATCATCTTAGATGGAAGCAATGTCTCTACAGTGGCAATTACGCAGTGAATACTACAAAGCAAAGCTAAGATTTCCCTGATTTGTTCTTCTCCAATACCAGAGGGTAGGTTACTTAAGGAGAGCAACCTCATTTACAGACTTAACTGCACTATCTAAAAAGTTGAGGCAGTTGCTGGATAGTCTGTTATGTACATTAAGAATGTCTTCATGAGAAAAATGAGTGGGAAATTTCAGAAAGGGAGACAGAACATGAGAGACTCCTAACTCTGGGAAACGAACTAGGGGTGGTAGAAAGGGAGGTGGGCGGGGGGTGGGGGTGACTGGGTGACGGGCACTGAGGGGGGCACTTGATGGGATAAGCACTGGGTGTTATTCTATATGTTGGCAAATTGAACACCAATAAAAAATAAATTTATAAAAAAAAGAATGTCTTCATGATGATCAAAGTGATACCACATGATACATCATCTATTAAGTTTGCTTATTTTATAGCTTTCCTATATTCTCTTAAATTCTAAGCAATGATTTAAAAATTCATCAGTACAGAATGTTAAAAAGTATTACCTATTTTACTCACTTAAAAGTATATTTCAGTTAAATAAATGACAAAGCAAAATTTTATAAAAATTCACTACTGAGAAAAATATTTTCAACCCATAAAATAATGTGAGTACCTAGTTGGGCACTTACCACTTGCCAAGCACATATAAAGTAATAGTAACACAAGGGCAGAATAACACAATCATTATTCTTATAAAGCTAACAGTCTACATAATTTACTTCTTCACTATATCTAAGAACCAAATTATTTCCCATTTTTAATGTTATAGCAACTACAATACCAGCATATAATAAAATATAATTCCTACAAGTTATCAAATATGTTCCAATTGTCTTTAAAGGAAAAGAAAATCCTTATTACTAAAAGGTAGAAAAATGAAAAAACAGCATTAAAGAAAGAGTACTGAAGAATAATTATCTCAAAAAAGAAAAAAAAACATTGCTTTATTCAAAATAAATAAAGATATAAATGTATAATTTCCTCCCTATTATCTGGTTATACAGCATAGCTCTATAATTCACAAAATATAACATGCACATGTATGTCAGCATCAACACCCCCCTGTACCAACAGGTCATGCATGATAAGCAGCTTAGGTTCAGAGTCACAAAGCTACTATTTTGTTGCAATGGTATTCATTAAAAGACATGAGAGCAAAAAAGGCACTGGAATTTGTCTGATAAGTCTCAACTCTATCACACAGAATTATGACTCCCTGGGCAAAATATTCAACCTTACTAAGGTTCAGCTTCCTCTTATATAAAATTTGGAAGGAAGTTAGGTTAAAAGGCCTATATGGTCCCCTTCTATCTCTAATAAATTATAATAAATATACTATATTTACTTACTAAAATCTACCTTAAAACAAGTACATGGATGGTAACACATCTCTTTTAATGGTATTAAATTAAACAAAAATTTGCTCATATTTAAGGATGATTAAACTGCAGATGGTGGAATGAATGCTTCAGGTAGCATGTAGAATGTTGAGAAAAACCACTTCCATTTGTCTACATACAGTACTGAGAATAAGGAACTAGAGCAAAGAACATGATGCTCCTCTCCTTGTTGGAAGAATCTTCACTACATGACTTAGAAGAAAATGTATGACATAACCTCAGTTTAACATTTGTTTAATGAGGATATAATCTGCTCAATCTACCTTAAAATGTAAGGGATCATCTGAGATGTTATAAATGAAAATGCTTTAGAACCAATGAAATAAGAAAATAGTACTATCCAGCGGATGCAAGCAAACTCCACTGATCTCTTCTGTGTGGCAAAAGCTAGCAAATTTTGAGGCTTATAAAAATACAGTAGAGATAATACGCAGAGGGGTGGTGACTAATGTAGCAGAGAATAAACACTGTTGAAAGAGGCACTCAAATAAATGGACAAAATCAAGTAAATAAAGTACTCTAATATTCGAAAACTCTCAAGAAGCTAACTTCTCAAAAAAAAAAAAAAGAAGCTAACTTCTCCTTATGAAATTTATCTCCCACACAATGTTGATTCTGTTATGCATTACTCCATTTAGCACCTTCAAAACCTGCACCATAAGGCTTGAAATGGTATCTTTATGTAATACTATTAAATATATATATATATATATATACACCTATATATATCACATATAGATGTAAAATAATATACTATTTAAATAGTTATGCCATTCTAACATTCAAGAAATAGGAAACAACGTTTTCAAAAGAAAAGAAATCTTAGAAATTAAGAACTGTTCTGGCCTTTGTAACATGTCCATTTCTTCACCACTGGTCACTGCTCATCTGAATCTAACCTTTAGAACAAACTTTCCTTTTGAAGGAATACAACATCTGTTATACCACACTCTCTTCCAACAATCCTTTTCAAAGTCTAGTAATTTTCATCAGGTCTATAATCTCTAATAATTAATTTCACAAGATTTTCCTCTTGAAGCTCATCCTAGATTTCAACATTCACACCTCACCCACTCAACACATAGCCTTCACCCTCCATTCCTTTTCAGTCCATCACTCCAGTTCAGCAAAAATGACTGTTAAAATAATTTAGTAAACGGTCCCCCTCTAGACTCTTAAAATACCCAAACACCCTCTTTAACCACACACTTCTACCTTCTAGTTCTCTTCAAATCACCTTCTTGATCTCAGAGTGATTGGCATTTTCTTGATAACTCATTCCTTTTTTTTTTTTTTTTATTTATGATAGGCACACAGTGAGAGAGAGAGAGAGGCAGAGACACAGGCAGAGGGAGAAGCAGGCTCCATGCACCGGGAGCCCCATGTGGGATTCGATCCCGGGTCTCCAGGATCGTGCCCTGGGCCAAAGGCAGGCGCCAAACCGCTGCGCCACCCAGGGATCCCTGATAACTCATTCCTGGTTGCACTTCCCTTCCTACTCAGTCTGAACCTGACTAGTCATTTCCACTTTCACCAATCACCCTCAAATCCCTTGCTCCAAGGTCACATAGTTGGCATATGCTAGATTAAACAGATGAGTCTTTTTTTTTTTTAGATGAGTTTTTATAGAGCAGAACTTACTTAGTCTTAGTAAAAGAGATTTAGTATACTATTATTTCCCTAACAGCCTTTCTGACCCTAGGAGATATTTAGGACCAATGTCCTGAGAGACCCAGGATCGAATCCCACATCGGGCTCCCAGTGCATGGAGCCTGCTTCTCCCTCTGCCTGTTTCTCTGCCTCTCTCTCTCTCTCTCTCTCTCTCTCTCTCTCTCTCTCCCTGTGTGACTATCATAAATAAATAAAGAAAAAAATATTTAAAAATATATATATAGATGTCAGGTGATAAGCACAATGAAGAAAAAATACAGAAGAGTAAGGAGAGAGAGGACAGTCATAGTGTTATGTGTAAGCATGTCTGGGAAGTGGGTAGGATCAGGGAAAGTGTCTTTAATGAGATTTTTAGAGTAGAGACCTTAAGACTCTTAAGAGAGAAACCACCATGAATCTAACTGTCAAATGCAGAGGTACCTGCCTGGCTCAGCTGGGAAAGCATATGATATGATCTCAGGGTATTACTTTCAAATAATAATAATAATAATAATAATAATAATAATGATAATGATAATAATTGCCAATTCCAAGGTCCTCTTTTGAATATTCATCCTACTGGAACTTTCTATAGCATAAGGCACTACTGATCAATCTCTCCCATCTTTAAAGTGTTTTCTCTCTTGGCTTCAATGATATTTCTCCCCACTTAAGCCCAAGTTTTTCAGATCTCAGAAGCTAAGCAGGGTTTGAGCTGGTTAGTATTTATACCTCCAGTAATACCTGATGCAACAGGCTTTTTCTGGCACATATTCACTACTCAATAAATATTAGTTTCTTACCACTTTCCTTTCTTGATAATTTTTAAACCTCTTTACAGACTTCTTCCCACTCCAATTTCCTTTCCTGCTCAACCCTAAAGCATCAATTCCTCCCAAAGCTTTTTCCCTCATTTTATAACATACAACTTTCCTAGGTGAATGCATCCACTTGCTGTCACTTACATGTTATGACTACTAAGCTCAAAACTCTACATAAACATTCACAAGTAGCCATGAGAAGTTTCTACTAGATAGTCCTCAACCTGTACAAACACATTTCTAAAGCCAAACTCATTGCCTCTTCTCCCACACTTGGTCTTCCTTCTTGGTTAAAAATATTAATTATGACCTCTTAGTCACAGCTAGACAGGCCTTCATCTTTGATTCCTTTTCCTCTCTCACATCCAACAGTCATATCTCACCTCTCTATCTCAGAAATATCTTCTAAATCTATCCTCCTTTTTTAATTCCCACTGTTTGTGCCCTAGTTCAAATCCTCATCCCATATATGTATTTCCAGTCTCTTCTTTCTCCAGTCTATCCTGCTACTATAGCCAACTAGTGATTGCCCACAATCCCTTCTGAGCATGCTGTTTTACTTAAACTGAATCACTCCTAAGTTCCCCACACATTTGCTATGAGTTTACCCATCCAATAAACAAGTACTGAAGAGGCCTCCTACGTCAAGGCACTTCGCTGAATGCTTTATATATGTGACATCATCATTTAATCTTGACATAGTTCAGGTAGATTGGTAGTTAATAGCTCTAGCTTTTATAGCTGAGGAATTGTTCTAACTTCAACAAAAACTCTCAGAGCTTTAATTAGTTTAAACCACTTGAAATTACTAATATTCAATTGTTTTGCTGTACAAAAAAAAAAACAATTTCATATATTTTAACCTAATTAGAACTAAACACATTATAGTTAATGATCGTAACTCATTGTTAAAAAAACAAAAACAAAACAAAACAAAACAAAAACAAAAAGTAAGGAGCAGGTATGGTCTACCGAAACACATCATAAGCTGAGCACATAAAACATGCCTCTCATAACATATCATATTCCATCGGAATATATGTATTTTTTCATCCATGTAATTGAATATTATGCTAGTACTCAAATAAGTCATTATATTTTAAAAGCATTCTTAGTAAGATTTCAATAGTAATGTCATAGTACTGCTAAAATATAAGGTTCACTAAAACATAGACTCAATGAGAGCAGGGCTTTGACTTTTTATTTTTTGCTATGTCTCCAGGGCCTAGAATGGTGTCCATCATGAACACAGTCATTCATCTAGCAACAAATATTTATTAAGTACCTACTCCGTGTCAGGCTATTTTAGGGGCTTGGCATACATAAGTGAAAAAAAAAAAAAGATGAAGATCTTTGCTTTAATTACAAACGTTAAATAAAATAAAAAAGAAAAAAGTTGTTTTGAAGCATTTTGTGTGTTACAATAACTTCACAAGAATTCCAGAACCCACGATCCTACCCACTATGCTACAAGACCACCATGTATTTTTAAGTTTATTAAAAGCAAAAGGTGTCTCCTGGAGTCTTCTTAAAAAATAGTATCCTGAGGGATCCCTGGGTGGCTCAGCAGTTTAGCGCCTGCCTTCTCCCTGCATGGGGCCTGCTTCTCCCTCTGCCTGTGTCTCTGCCTCTCTCTCTCTCTCTCTCTCTCTGTGTGTCTCTCATAAATAAATAAATAAATAAATAAATAAATAAATAAATAAATAAATAAATAAATAAAATATTTTTTAAAAATAGTATCTTGAAAGTAAGGAGAGTGATCATTACAATTCCTATTTCGCGGAAACTTAATCTCCCTGAAATAAATTAGATGGTCAGGGCCTTCACTCTGGACCTTCACTCCTCACAGTATACTGCAGCTGCCCACAAATGGAACATTATCAGAACTCTTATCTACCATTCTCAAGCTGTTTACTATGAGAGTAAAACCTTGAAAAACGATCATACTCATCGTTACATCTGGGTTTTTTGGTTTTTTTTTGGGGGGGGGGGTGGTATGCTTAGGTAACTGCAAAAACTTACCGGTCATTACTTTTCACTTCATAACACAACCTGAAATAATTTGCTCTCTGGTATACAACACTAAATAAACAGGGCTCCATACCTCTGTTTACTTTTAATTCCACCTGAATCTATGTAAAATGGGGGGGGGGGGCGTGAAGAGCTAAATCAAGGCGATACTATCTTTCAATTCTGCAAGCTTATTCTTCCACCAGGAGGGCCAACCACAATTTGAAAAAAATAATCTTGAAACGGTGGTTGCCCGTGCCGGTTTTCTTTCCTTTGTTGTTCTTAGGTAAAGGCTATATAGTACAGAGGATGGAACGGACAAAAATAATAGAGAAGTGAAAGAATAGAGAACAAAGCAAAATCTGGAGTCATGGTTACAGCCCAAGGATCAACTCAAAGATAAGGACTCAATGCCGGCTCTTCCTTACAGAGTCCTCATTAAGGAGCCCTCAAATCCTTCTGTGAATCTATTGTCCCCAGCTCCTCAAGCTGGCCGGTGACTCTTCCTTGGGAGATGCTCTTGGCATCCCTCCCGCAGAAGATGCGGTACAAACGGAAAGACGGTTTCCTAGGGAAACGGGCCAAGGGAGGTGTCAGGAGCTGGAGGCTGGAAACACAGGCTGGCCCAGGAGGGAGGCCATGGACGTTAGTGAACGGTCCACTTTGCAAGGAAAATAAAACCTGGCCGGAGAGCGATCACCAAAAGGGCGCTCAGGAGTCAGGCAACACGAGAAGATGGTAGGAAGGGGCCCGCAGGCCGGTGCCCAAGGGAGTCTCCGGCGCGCGTGGGGGACCCCAGCGGAGGACCGCCCGAGGCGGGCAGCCTGGGGACGCTGCGCCGCACGGCGTCGGGGCTGCAAGGCTGCGGCCGGCCGGGCCTCCGGGGGAGCGGCTGCGTCCGCCGCTTCGGACCAGCCCTCGCCTCCCCGGCCCCGCTCTCCCGGGCCCCCTGGGCTGCCCACGCCCGCGCTAGCCGCCCGGCCCTCACCCCTTCACCGCCTCACCTTCCAGTCCCTCCATTGCGCCACCGCCTCCGGCTCCGCGAGATCCCTCCCGCCGCCGCCGCCGCCGCCGCCGCCGCCACCGCCCAGCTCCGGCTGTAGCAACCCGGCCGCACCTCCCACCCGCTAACATCCCGAGCTCCCATTGGCCCGACGCTGAGGGGGCGGGGCTTCGGGGCGGGGCTTCGGGGCGGGGCCTCACGGGGAGGGGGCGCGCCTCCTGCCGCGGCTGCACCGCTGTCTGTGAGCTTTCGCGGTCGTCGCCCCGGTAAGGCTACGCCGCTTCAGGTCGCGTGCGGTCGCCAGACGCCGCCTTTGTTCTCCTGACTGCAGCCCCGTTCCCTCACGCCCTGTCCTTCCCCCTTAGAATGGCTCAGCTCGCCGTGGGCAGCCCTTCCCCCGCCCCTCAGTCGGTCGGTGCAGTCCTGTCCTCCCGTCTGTCCCTCTGAGGGCTCTCGGCGACCACAAGCCCTACCCGCGTTGATGCAGCGCGCTCTCCATTTTCCGCCAAGAGCTCCCTCGGCCTCCCCTGAGTGTACTTCCCTAGACTTGATATTCACACACTGATGTAGGAGTTAAGGCCCCCCCCCAAACCCCCCAATAATCCTACTTTGTGTCTGGGATTGTAGAACTGAGATTGCCCCAAACACTTGGAAACCATATCCTCAGCCTGAAAGCTTGGACCGAACCTTCGACGTGAAACCCGCCCCCTCCCCCCCCTTCATCTACTCTGGGCCTACGCAGCCCCTATACTTGATCATCCCTTAACTAAAGTAGTCTGCTGGCTTCATAACTTCTGAAGTAATATCAACACTATGTCCGATGAGGGAGTTCAAGGGCAGAACTCACAGAATGAAGGCCTGTTTCTGCCAGAGTCAAAACCTTTGGGGGATGAAGGTAACTTCAAAACTAGCTAAAACTTTTAACAGCCTAACACATTTCAGGACGAATAAATTGCTTTGAAAATTTGATTCACCAGACCATATCATGTGTTATCTCCAGTATATCTACTGGCAAGTCATCACTATTAGTGTCATTTCTCTCGCAAGTCCTATATTGATTTTCTTTTTTATTTTCTTCTCTTATATTTTTTAATATTAATTATCTGATTTATCTGTTTCATTGCAGAGTTTTCACATCATATCTAGCTTTGTCTACTGCGAAGAGTATGTATCTGACAAAGCAGTGGTTCTCCAACTCCTGCTCCAATGATGGTATGTGTAACAGTTGACCCTTGAGTAGTATGGGGGTTAGAGATGCTGACATCTGCACAGTGGAAAGTCCACGTATAACTTTTGACTCCTCAAAAACTTAACTGTTGACTGGAAGCCTTACAAATAGCATAAAAAAGTCAATTAACACATATTTTGTATGTGGTATGTATTATATACTGTACTCTTACAATAAAGCAACCCAGGGAAAAGAAAGTGTTACTGGGAAAATCATAAGAAAGAGAAAATACATTTAGAGTACTCTTTTTATTTTTAAAAAATCCACATGTAAGTGGACTCCCACAGTTCAAGCCTGTATTTTTTTCAAGGGTAAACTATATAAACTAGAAACAAACACAGGGGGAGGGGGGCGTCACCTCTTACTGGGAAGGGTACTCAAGTTAGTTGAATATGGTGTGGTTCACCTATTACACAGTCATGTGAAGGAAAACTTCAACCATGCCTGTTTCTATTCCTGTCCTTCAAATAGTTCTGCTCTGACTTTTCTGTTCCTTTTAACATCTGAGACCCTGGGCCCTACTCACTAGACCACAGCCACATGCCACTTAGCCTCCCTGGCCTAAGTGGAAAGGTCCTTTTTCCTTGGTGCTGCTAAGACAAAGCCAGAATTGTGGGAGAGTGGATGGGGAGAACTTTTAAAAGAGCACAAAGGTGGGGATCCCTGGATGGCTCAGTGGTTTAGTGCCTGCCTTCCGCCCAGGGCATGATCCTGGAGTCCCAGGATTGAGTCCCACATCAGGCTCCTTGCATGGAGCCTGCTTCTCCCTCTGCCTGTGTCTCTGCCTCTCTCTCTCTCTGTGTCTCTCATGAATAAATAAATAAAATCTTAAAAAAAAAAGTGCAGGGAGGAAAATAGCACACTTGGAAGAAAACCCATAAATAAACAATTTACATTACAAATTGCAAGTTCTTGAACTGAAGTCAAGTCAAAGATTGAGTTGGCTAATACATACTCTGACATAATAGCTGTAGTAACAACAAAAACAATAAGGCAGTAATAATGATAACAATTTTTTAAAAATCATGGTAGGCATATTTTAGGTCCTTTTCATATGTTCACTTATTTTGTCTTCAAAATAATTCTTCAGAGGATACTCTAATTTTCATTTTTCAGAACTAATTATTTATTTTCTAGATGTCTCAGATTAATTTTTTGCTATATTTATACTATTAGTGAATGTAACTTGGATTTAAACTCTGATCTGATATCTATGGCAATGTCATGGGACTCCTGAGTTCCCTTCCTTACCTTGCTGCCTAGTTGCCTCAAATGTAATTCTAAATATTCAGACATGCTGTGGAAGGTATACTTGGGTAGCCATTACTACTGTGAATCTTAATTCTCTAAAATATGCCTGCTAATCTCCTGTACAGATAATAGGCTCTCAGCACTTTTATGTTACAGCTGTCCTGACTCCTGTAGCTTTTTCCTGGTCCTGACATCTGAGCTAAGAGGACAGTTTCTTATCTGCCTTCCTAAATTCCATCCTCTGCCTCCTGCATGCTTGGCCTGAGTCTGGTCTTGGTGCTTTCTCCTGACTTTACTCCATCTTGTTTTATTCCTTTTTTCTGATGCATCCATTCGACAAATATTTGTTGAGTACGTACTATGTTTCAGGCCCATTTCAGTACTAGCCAATTACTAAAATGAATGAATCTCAGTTTCCTCTCATATTCCTTATCTTTTCATATTTCTTTTTAGCTGCCAAGTGATCCTTTTAGCTAATAACAACAGTCATGGATAAATACAAAATATTTTCTCACCCCTTTATCATACGAAAAAGAAAGCAAAGGTTCAGAGATGTTTTATTGACTCATTCCAGATGACAAACTAGTAAGTAATTGAAATAGATATTGGACCCTGTATTATTATATCATATCCCTGATTATGCCTTGCATTACTTTCTCTTCAACCATTATTTCCTGGAACCAATACACATCTCTTTTGCACCTTCCAAAGGGCTGAGCAAGCCACATATACCTTCTTGTTTCAAAGTTCCAGCATCCTGTTGGATCTTACACAAAGATCAATTTCCCTTTCAGAAACATTTGGCTCTCATTCAGATCATTTGCAAAGCACAGCTAAATGAGATTCTGAATATCAGAATCCAACTCAATTTATCAACTTCCACTATGTAGGATGTTTCTTTCCTCCCAAGCCTCTAGAGGAATGACCCACCAAGTTAGTAATTCACACATTTAGTAATCATAACAAAATGATAATTTTCATCAGAAACAAAAAAAGCATTATTTCCCCCAAAAGGGAAGAAAGGGCTGTTGAACAGTTTTCTAGATTATTAGAAAGATTCATTTTCTAGATTTTTACTAGATTTATTTTGTAGATTGAAGTAAAAACAAAATTCTTTAAGTGTTCAGGGAGAAAATTAGTAATAGTCCTAAATAAGAAAACACTGAGAAAAGGAAGAAAAAAAAAAAAAGCAAGAGCTTAAATCAAGCTTCATCTCCTTTATTGATTGGAGGGCTACTCCATTTACGGTGTGATAGTGACTATTCTACTCTTTCCCCTCTAGTTCCAAAAGGAACTCCAATTCCAAAAGGAATTCTCAGCAGCAATAGGATACATTTTTCAACCTTCAGTTATGATTGCATCTATCCATATCATTCCACCACATCCCAAATCTTAACTGAAAGTCTGTTAATCCAAATACTTATTGAAATAGTCCCACATAGATGACTCTGTTCTCAGCATAACAGGAAGCTCCAAAAAAGCCTCTCTGCTCTCTGTGCAGTTAACATCCAGCAGAGAAGGCTCTGGGCAAGACATAATACAGTGATAGAGGACAATATATTATTAAGTTTTAGGCAATGTGGTACAGCTTATAAAAGTAATTAGTTTCAGGGAGACATTTACATGGATAGAACAATTTTAAAAGCCTTATGGAGAAGTAGAACTTAAGTTCTATCTTGAAGGATATCATTGGATAAGCAAAGATCACTGAGGATGAGGGGGATATAGCATAAGACTTAAGAAATTTAATGCAAGTCTGGCATGTTCTGGGATAATCAGTAAAGAAACAAAGAAAGTAATTATATTTATTCATGATGTAATATTTTCTCCTAAGTCACAAAGTATAGGCATTGTAGGTATATATTTCATATACCTACATATTTTAATCTCAGTTGCAGAGTGTTGAATTAATAATACTTACCAGTGTACAACACATATGTCAGCTGCCTACACAAAGGCCTCTTTTTCCCCCATTTATTATTATTTAGATTTTCATTTTAACCATTTTAACTCTATTTACCAACCTACTCACTATAAGCATCATTATATTGCATTTAATCTCAAAGATCACAGATATCTTTGGATATATATGGTTCCTTGAAGCATATGTGGTACTGTTTTATATGTGCGTCTGTTCTTATTTTACATACATGACCTTACACTGTAGCCTTCATTCAATTTGAAAGTTTTAACTAAGTATTCATGTAAAGATTCACACATGCTCCTATATATGACACCAGTTTATTGCTTCTGAATGCTGGGTAGTATTTTACTGTACATATACACCGCATTTTATTTACCCATTTCTGTAGCGATGGGCATCCAGTTGCATCTAACCTGCTGCTACAATGAACATCTTTGTGCCTGTCCCCTTATGAACCTGAGCTCAAGTTTCTCTGGAATGCATCCCTGGAATGGATTACTGGATCATATTCATTTCTAGTAAGTATGCCCAAATTGTTCTCTCTGATGGCTGTACCAGTATACACTGCTGTCAGCCATGTGAAAGAGTGCTCATCTTCCTATATCTCATTAATAGCTGGCTTACCTCTAATTTTTCCCAATCCATTGAAAATCAAGACTTGGGCATCTCT